ATATTATTTATTTAATATATTTAATAATATTATTTATTTAATATATTATTATTTAATATATTATTACATGTTTTTAAAAATTAAACCACCAAATGCAGTTTCAGTTTTTTTTAAAACTGAAATCAATCTCTAAATAAAACTACCAAACACATTTTTAGAAATAATTCAAAAATGAAACTAAAAACGTTTTCATTTTCATTTTCATATAGAAAATAAAAACGTTTTGGAACCAATTCCAAACGCACCCAATAATTTGTTCCGACCGGACTGTTGTTAAGAATAAATCCTCTTTCTAAACGTGATAACTTTGCCAACGTGTCACATTCCTTCCATTTGTTTTTATATAAACAGTAGGCAATGTTGTTTACCGTTGGTAATCTGACCATAATTTTGCTTGCAACTATTGATTTTTTTTTTCTTTTCCAAATAAAAAGTTATGGAGAAAAATCAGGTTCTTTCCAATCTCCCAAACCTTATTTATAGACGGACATTATTAGGACAAAATAAATAATAAAGAAAAAATATAGAATTTATCTTTGAAAGTGTATGAGTTTAAACCATTTACTTCTTACTCTTAACAAATTACCATTAGTGTGATTATTTAATTAAAAAATTATAAATCAATAATAAATAGTAAAAATTCTAACTTATACACATTTAAAAAGTATCTATGAAGACTATCACAAAATAAAAAAAAGAATAGAGGTGTCACTTTATGAGTATTTTGATCAATATTGCTCATCAACTCAGCTCATGCTATTTTTAGAAGCTTGAGCCTTATCTATTCAAAATTTCAAAATGAAAGGGGTTGAAAAGTCAAATGTATGTCACGAGATAAAATGCTTAATGTGTAATCAATGTATGCTTATAATGTACATACTCATACTCGTGGGTACAAGAAAAATGAGTAATTTTAATAAATACTTTTAAAAAAATGCACGAGTCAATATTTTTATTATTTATTATTTATTTATAATTTTGTTAATTAAATAATTATACTAGTAAAAAAGTATTTATTAAGAGTAAGAGATAAAGGTCCAGACTCATATACTCTTAAGGATAATTTCTCTATTTTTTTTAAGAGAAAAATTGGTTGTTTTGGGCTTTACTAGAGGAGCATTTTATAAATGAAAATTTTCATTTCACAAGAAACAAATTATAAAAGGCACAAATATACATTATATGCAAAGGAATTCAACTCTGAATCAATAACTGGATCCACTAACCAGCAAAGATCAAAATAGCATAGGAGTAAATACAAATACCAAGACTCAGATAGAGAAATACTCGCTCGACACATAATTATCGAGCTTGACCATTGCTCGTTAAACAATAGCAAAACAGTCGATAGACTAGTCTAGTTGATCAATACCAAACTCCACGTAACGGGGACAATCACACCACGGCATAGAGGAAACTCTAGCCGAAAAACATACACCACACTATCTACAAACGGGTAGGGGACACAAGCGGAGGACATCACCTCCGTTATTACCGAAATAAAAACACTAAAGTAAAACAAAAAACGCACCAAAAGGACAGAAACATCAATGCTTTTATTACAATTAAACAAAAGAAAGATCCACTCTACATGATTGTTTTAAAAAAAATTATTTTCTCATATTTAATTGCATTTATTATTAGGAATTTCTCTAGTAGGATCAAAAAAATGAACTACCGGTAATTTTTTACTTTTAAACCCTCATATCCATATCAAAAATTGTAAGTTTTGTGCATATTTTTTTAATTTAAAATGATTTTAATCGGATCTAACAATTAGAAAATTCACTATACTAATAGGACGCCCAAAACTCTCTTATTATTGTAAGAATAATAATTCACAGTATATAACAATAAACAATAATCATGATCATGAAAACTTTAAAAAAAGAAAATAATCATGATCATGAAAACTTTAAAAAAGAAAATAATCATGATCGTGAAATCATATCAAAAGAAGATCGTACATTTAAATAATATATTTTAAAATATTTTTTGATACTACAATAGTAGACTAAGGGTCCGTTCACTTCGTTAATTCGAGTTGATATGTGATTTTGTATGAGAGCTTTTTACTGTAGCAAAAAAGTTAGATGTGACTGTTTCTGAGAGCTTTTTACTGTAGCAAAACTCGAATTCTAAACTCGAATCGGCGAAATGAACGGGGCCTAAGTTTTCTATTCTTTAAATTTGTATAAAATTACATATAATTTAAAATACACAAATTTAAAATTAAAAAAAAATTTTAACTTATTTCGCTTGAGAATCTTCTTTTTTCTTTTGGTAAATGTTTAGACAAGATTTATGCCAATGGACAAATAAATATCTTTGTATTCCATCTCACACACTAATCTTTCCACGTCATTTTCCGCATCTTCAGCCAAAATATCCCAACGTGCTTTGCTCTCTCTGGACAAGCCCCACACGTGGCAACCCCTAACAACATCAACGCTTTACAATGACACGCGTCATGTCGTAGTCAATTTCGATGAGCAGCCCGGAGCTGTAATTGTATGGTCCCGATAGTACGTTAACGACATCTCCTCCTTCAACTTCTCCATCGTCAAGTAAGTAGTCACACCGCGCATCACAAGACAAACCAAATTCCCTGAATTTGCAGTACGGTCAGACCTTGAGAATGGCGCGAAACACGTGTCTAAACTAGAAAATGACACGGGGCAGTATAATCCTATGGTGGACGCGCTCCCTTCGGATATCATCTTTCCCAGTTTTGCAAGTCAAGAAAAGCGGTAGATTAGATATTTTCTTATGACGAGAGGGTAATAAGGTAATTTAATGCGCTGCCCATGGAACACGGTGAGAGCTGAGAAGAAGAGGAGAACCAGTGGGCACGAGCTTTCGCTTTCATGGCGATTTTTCTCGAAGTCTCTCGAAGAACCAGCGATCTCGCCATTACTATAAATAGGGGGCTCCTTTTCTCTCGTATTCCTCGAGTCACATTCACATAATCACATCCTTGTCTCTCCTCTCTCTCTCTCTCTCTCTCCTCTCTCTTTCTTTGTTTCTCTTTCATCGTCAAGAATCACATTTGGAGCTACGAATATCTTTGCATTTTTATCGGATTCGGCTGTGGATTGGATTCTCTGGATTTTGGATCTGCCATTGAAAGTTCGTCATTCTGTACAGAATCGTATAATTCGTAGTTTTTCTTTTCTTTTTCAATTGAAAATCGTTAATTTTGTTCCGTAAATTTACTCAAATTGTAAGTTACTTTCTAATTTAATTGATTTTCGTTAGGTTGAATTCTGTTTGATCTCTGTGATATGCTGTCTGAATGTGTGATTGTAGCGAGAATTTGCTGTTTGATTTGGTAGTTAAGGTGATCGTTAGTGCATTTTGTGAGATTTTGTTTTGATCGGATGTTTGTTTAAGTGTGAACTGCTGTTGATTTGTTTAGAGAACGATTAGTTGGATTGCAATTTTGTGCTTGATCGGCTGGTGTTCTTTCAACTCTTGGCTTGTTTCTTTGGATGATTTGACAGCTTTGTTGTCGTATCGTACTACAATTTTCATGTTAGGCCATGCTTAATGTGTCGTTTTGTTTGAAGATTTTCTCGTCTTTGAGTTTTGTTTGGTTGAGGGATTCGTACCCCGATTTAAATCATGGTTTCTCTCATAAAAAATACACGTAAATCAAAAATATTCTAATATCATGATTTTAATCAATTAACTAAACGTCTCCTAATTTGCATTTGGTCGCAATAGCCTTGGCGTTGTAGTTTTACCTGGATGCTTTTTTGTTCAGAATTTCTTGGACCAACCTGTTGCTATTATTCGATGATTTGATATCATATTTGATCCAAACCAATGTCTTAAAAATAGTTTGGTGTTTTTGATTGAGTTGTGTTCCTGAAAGAAATGGAAGCTCGAATGAAATTTGATATTTTATCCTTGTTTAAAGTAGGATTGCGTCTTTAAATATTATTAACTTTCTAAAGTAGCCATAATATCCAGTTCCCCATAGTGTTGAAAATGGGTTTATAATCTTCGGCATCTATGTACAAGGTGTCCGAAGTTAAAAAATAAGAGCCTTTGAACTCCATTCTTATTCATTCATTTCATGGTAGTGAAAGTGTTGTATTTACATTGGACGAAGTACCAGATGAGTTCTATTTTATTTTATATTTATAGAAGCCTCCTTGATGTCTTTATATTACGGGACTGCTATAAAACTAAAATAAAATGAGTTTATAACCCGGGCGATCCATGTAGAAGATGTAGGAAATTCAAAGATAAAACTCTTTCTTATGCATTCAAATGTTGTTCACCATGGTGGTGAAAGTATGTTCTCTTTACTTTAGAAGAAGTCCTGGGTGATTCTATTATATTTTTGTAGCATCCTCCTTGACGTATATCAAGCGAACCCGAGTGATCAAAATACCGTTGGAATTATGAAAGGTCTCTCTCTTTAGTATTTGATTTAACTGTTAAGACACATACGATTTACATCACAAAGATGCACTAGGAACCAAATGGTGAAACTGAATTACTCCCTCGCTTCCCTCTCCCAAGCATTCATGAAAAGAAAAGGGAAAATAAAAAGTTCTTCCCTGTTATTTAAAGAAATGGTATTATGGAAACTGTTGTAGCTGGAGGAAGAGAGTAGGCCATATTGGTGTAGAGGCAACACGTGAAAAAGGAGGCCCTGAACCTTTTATTGTCACTGTCCGCGTATTAGCAGCTGGTTTTCCTCATCAGCTGGTTTGTTCTTTTGAGTTTTAGGTTTATTTATTTATTCATTTTTAATATTCCGATGAGGGCTCTCTAGGTGGTTTTGCATCATTGCCTTACACCGGAGTTAGAAATGTGAGTTATAGGACTTAGTAACCAAACTAACTTCCAGGAGAGCCTAACATGCAACATGAGACATTTCAAAAAATCGTTTCAACAGAGTATGAAATTTTGTTCTGGAAATGAACAGTGATCCTGGCTTGCTTCATCTGTACTCAAAAAAATTTCTGCACACAGAATCAAGCTTTGTTAGTTTACTGTCCTAAAGAAGCAAGGTGGATTTTATCGAGTTGTTGCAGGAAATAAAGTGCTTCTTAGGTGTTCTAGTGCACTGTCCTGGGTGCCAAGATTTGCTGCTCTCCCCTGGATGTAATCTTTTTTTGGTCCTTTTTTTCATTTCATACCCTAAACTTTTTGAAACCTCTGAGTCACAATCAAGAATAGTACTGGCTACCTGTCTATATATTATGGCAGTTCCGAACGTAAGTTCTTAGATAATGAGAATTTGAACTTTCAGATCAGCCAAATATTGAACGAACTGAAGTTATTAAACCCTGATGGTAAAAGGTCTGAGTTTTGGCCTATTCGGTAAGTTCATTTCTCTGACGGAGATTGGTGCAGAGTTGCAAATGGAGGTAGGCTTGTCCTTTTTTGGACAATCAACATGCACATTTCCGCAATCTGTCGCACTGTTTCTCCTGTTCTTTTATTCCTTTTCAGAACACATTTGATTGTGTAATGCATTGCTTTTACCATAGGTTGGTATTGATCCTGCCCAATATAACTGGATTTGGTTCCGGGACTTCTTCAAGGGAATCAAGTATGAATACTATTAATCAGCTGGAAGTCTGGAGTTTCTCAGTGCCGCATTGTGTTTATTATATGGGCTTCTGATAGATCTACTTAATTTGATGAATCGTTCTCTTCAAGAAGTGCTGATTGGCAGCTGTTCAGGCTTGCTTGGATTATTTTGTTGCTGATTTCAATTGTCTGCAGCTGTGTAGAAGAAAGCCAGAGTGTCATGCGGTGTTTGCCTGGCTTGATCGGTTAAGTAATGTGCCTTTTGAAGTTTTCCAATCGTTCCTGACATATTTATATGTGCACAGGTGCTTTACGGTTGATTGCCAGCTTGTAGATGCTTTTTAATCATATCTAGCAATATGGTTGATAATTTGGAAGTAGCATTCAATCCTACCCCGTTTCAACAAATTGGATCCAAAGACATGGACCATATGACACACACAGAGTGTGAAGTGAAGGCTGAAAACACTTATCCTTTAAATGGAGACTGCATTGGCGTGGAAGCATCAAGGGATTATACAAAGGCTGTTGAATCATTAGAGAAGGGGCATATGCAGTATGGGTAAATGTCATACTTATCTATGAATGTATACATTTTCTATTTATTTAATCAGAAAACTATATTTTGGATATTTCTTTAACAGGTGTCCGCATTATCGCCGGAGGTGCCGCATCAGAGCTCCTTGTTGTAATGAGATTTTCGATTGTCGCCATTGCCATAACGAGGCAAAGGTGAGTGTATATTTATCTTCACTTGATTTCTGTGTGGGCTTCTTTGATGTTGAGAATACATATATGGAGAGTTTTGATTATATATTCACGATGCACTTGCATGTTATTGTTATATAAATACGCAATAGGCATGGTTTGAACCCAGATTGTCTTTCAGAGAAGAATTTTTTCCTTAGTAGTCTTTCTCCTTGTAGCTTTGAAGCTTTTTGCATTAAGTAGATGGAAGTGTTATGATTAAAGATTTTTAAAATATTAAATAGGATTGTCTTCTGGTGAATAAATGTTTACTTCTTTTTTTTTTTTTTCCTTCAATTTTTTTGACGAAGATTGGGTATCTTTAGTTTATATATTTAGATTGAATGATTTACTGAGGCTTTAGGTTTTGATCAATCTCAAATGTTATTTGGATCAAACAGTAACACAATTGATATTGATGTGCAGAATAATATTAATGTCGATCAGAAGCATAGACATGACATTCCACGGCATCAAATCAGACAGGTTTGCTCTATTTATTCTCCCACTCCAAACCTTTTCCTATTTCTGAATTATTTATTGGTGTTTTTCCCAAGTTACTGACCAAGTCATGTTTGTTTCTCAGGTGATATGTTCACTTTGCGGGACTGAGCAAGAGGTCAGTTTAGTAATTTTATTAGATAACATTTTTATGATCGGCTCTGTAGTAATTATTAGCTTAAGCTAGGGGTAGACGATGAACCTTGCTCAAAGAACTCTAATTTAATGCATCTAACTTGTGTTATGCTTTCCTTACTTTTGTTCCAGGTCCAGCAAGTCTGTTTTAACTGTGGTGTATGCATGGGGAAATACTTCTGTGAGACTTGCAAGCTATTTGATGATGATGTAAGTGCTCAATCTCAGCCCAATTCTTTAAGAAATTACTAGGTCTGGTACATGGGTACTTCCTGTTTCCCTTTGCAGTGTGTGTTAAGTGTTTGAGGCAGTCTGTTCGATTCGTACTTGAGCGTGAGAATTAGTGATAGGAAGTTTGTTAACTCATTGTGGAATTTATTAGATTTTGTTGCTTTTAAATATCTGCTATAAGAGCTTAATGTATGTAATGGTGAAACTTCGGTAACGCCCAGGTGCAAGCAGATCTAACAATTTTGCATATTTGCTTTGTTCTAGATATCTAAAAGACAATATCATTGCAATGGCTGTGGCATTTGCAGGTAATATCTGCTATTCCGTTATTTTGTGTCTTTACACTTGCTTTCCCCTAAGCCTTCTATTTAATTCTACAGTATTATAATGTCTTTTCGAATTTTGTTTTAGTGGTGCCATGAGGACACATCGTTTTGTTATATTCCTAAAATCACCTCTGGGTTCCTTGGTGCTTTATATTTTATGTTTTAACGATATTAACTTAGTATTTTGCTTTACTTGTTTTTGTTGCAGGATTGGAGGGCGTGAGAACTTCTTCCACTGCTACAAGTGTGGTAAGCTATACTTATTCCTTTTTTTTAAGGTTATCTGCAAAAATCCTTGTTTTGATATCATTATTAGTGGCGGTAATGTAAACAACTTTTGGCTATAATGAAGGTTGCTGCTACTCAATTTTGTTGAAGAACAGTCACCCTTGTGTGGAGGGGGCAATGCATCACGATTGCCCTGTTTGCTTTGAGGTAATAACTACAGTCCTTCATGATCGGATACGAGTTTTATTGTTAGTATTATCAATAACTAATGGAAGCATTGTGCTTTGCAGTTTTTATTCGAATCAAGAAGCGATATAACTGTTATGCCATGTGGACACACTATCCACACGAACTGCTTGAAGGAGATGAGGGAACATTATCAGTGAGTGTCCTTAGAGAAACTTATTTGCTTTATTTAAGAACAACTTATTTGCTTTATTTAAGAACAACTTATTTGCTTTATTCGTTATCTTTTCGTTTCTCAATTTGAAAGTTTGGAGAATAAAATTTCTAATCATGTCTCCGGTATTCATACATGATTGTGGCAGATACGCTTGCCCTCTTTGCGCCAAGTCGGTTTGTGACATGTCAAGGGTATGGGAGAAATATGACATGGAGATAGCCGCTACACCAATGCCTGAACCATATCAAAACAAATTGGTTAGTCTCCTTTTCATCTCACTCTTTCACAGGTAAAAACGGAGTTATGTACTGAGTGTTATATTGTTTAACAGGTTTGGATTCTCTGCAATGACTGTGGAAAAACCTCAGAAGTTCCATTCCATCTTGTGGCTCAAAAATGTTTGAACTGCAAATCCTACAATACTCGCCAAATAAGAGGGTGAGATAGTGGTGGTCGGTTGCAGAAGAGTTCAAATGCCATCGACGGGCTTTCATTGCAATCTTGGGTTTGCTCGACCTTTGGCCATGTCCTGCCGAACAATACAATGCAAATAGAGCAAGAGGGCTTTGTGGTCCGGTGGCTTGTTCTCCGCTGTAGATTCTTAGCGCCCACTTTCCTGTTTCCTTGTTTTTTCGTTGTTGATTTTGTTTTCCTTGTGTCCTGTTCCCCTTGTGGGAACTTGTTTAACGCAAGGCTATCATGGAATATCGATCGGACGGACTTGTTTTTTCCTGCGTTTTTTACCACTTCATCCTAGGGGCTTTTTTTTTTTTCACTTGTCACCTTGCCATTGTCAAGAAATTTTCCCTCTTCTCTAGTTGTGGCAAGCCACGGCCGTTTAAGCAATGGTGGAAAAGGTCTTTTCGTCTCTGAGAAATAGTGGTAAAAGGTGTATGATGGGTCATGAATATGATTGCTTGTAACCAGAGTCCTTTGTTAGTGGAATCTTTTTTTGTGTCTTTCTTTTGCGGAAGGGTCCTTTTCTCTCTGGAAGACTTCTTGGTCATGCAGTGAAATGTTGGATTCCTTTGGCATAATGCCAAATTGCTCGCATATTTTACAATTTGACTTGTTAAACGTTCTGGTCTGGTGATAGCTTAATGAAAATAGAAAAATGATGAAAGTTTTACCTTTTCAACTGTTTAGTAGTTTTCCGGAGGCAAAGGAGCGTTTCCAAAGTTAAATAAATTACTTCAGCACTGATTAGGAAAAAAATAATAATAATAAGAACTTCAGCACAGAAAACATCACATTAATAATAATTGAAGCATCATACGTCAATGAGGATTAAATTAAAAAAAAAGGAAAAAAAAGGAAAAAAAAGACACTAGGTGCTGCATGTGATCAAACAACACTGGCTATTACTGGCGGAGCAGAACGTAGATTTGCGTTCTCTGCGTTGTTACTGCATTTGCTGTGAATTAGCAGTTATTTGCGTTAGAACTCATGAAAATTTCTGCAGGTTTTTTTTTTTTTTTTTTTTTTTTTTGGGGGAAAATTTTTTTTTTTAATTGGGCGATGGGAAAGGCAAATGTCAAATTTCTGTAGTTTTACCTTACAGAGGAAAAAAAAAAAGGAAGATTCTTGAGTACGCTTAGCGTACTGATAAGTTATATTTTTTAAACTGTTAAATTTACGTATTTTTTGATTTTGTGTTATTTTATACAGATTTAACAGATAGAAAATTTAACCTACTGATATATTAACGTATCAGAAAAAATCTTAAAAAAAATAATAAAAATGAAGAAAGGTAACAAGGTGAGTAGTCGCTACTGCAACGACTGCTATAAACTGAGCCAACTATTCAGTAAGCAGTCTTCTCTTGACAATTCGCTCCCTCAAATTAGAGACTCTGTTTTCGGTTCAAACCGACCAAATTTGTCTGCTATTTGACCAATGTAGGGCTAGTTAGTCTTCGTTAAGGAATATCTTGACAAATGTCTAAGATCCGTTAACTTGAATTACACGTTAATGAGGAAAAAAAAAAGTAGATACATTAATGATGATTTAAGTTTCTTTCTATATGTTACTCGATGTAAATTATGTCTGGTTATTCAAGAAAGATATATATATAGAAAGAAAAAATTACCCTCAAACAAATCACATCCAAGTGGGTGAAAATGTTAATCCTTACTTTTTCACAATTTCAAGCAAAAAGATTGATTCATGCCTAAAATCATCTCTAGTCGCAATCTAGCTTTTCTTTTCTTTCTTTTTTTTTTTCAACTTTTTTCTTTGAGAAAACCAAGTGGCAGCAAAGCATGAATTCTTTCTAACATAGTAGAGGAGTGATAATAACTCGTTTACTAAAGATAACCTGACGCATAGTGGAGTGGACCATGTATTGATTATGATGGGTTCGCATTATGTCTTCTGGTAGTGGATTTCAATTCTGTGGACCATATATTATTCACACCCTTTTTGAGTCCTAAAATTGAAAAACCACCATCAATATGTTACATCAGCAGGCTAGATGGCCCCACCAGGAACCGTTGGAGACTTTTTCTTTTTTTTTTTTTTTAAGAGAGAGAGGGCAACTCAGTAGATTACCATTCTCATAGCGTCTGGTTTTTAGACTTCTTATGCTGAATATACTTGAGAAAGTGTATACAAGTGTTACATCATATCAATGAAATGAACCTACAAAACTATGTGCCCTTGGCGAATATTATGAAAATCTAGCAGTTGAAAAGCATAAAGCGTGTGTTCGGAAAAAAAAAAAAAAGAAAAAAGAAAAACATAAAGTAGGTAATAGAATCCAAAACACACTCTGCATCTAAAGAGAAAAATAAAAAATAAACAATAAACAATAAAATTTAATGAATTAGAAACGCTGACTATTGTTGGAGTATTTTCTCTCTTTCTAAGTCATTCAATCACTATTAGGTGTCTTTTATATTCTGAGGGAAAAAAAAAAATTGCTATGAAGGTACTATCATATATCAATTGGTTATTTTGATTTGAGAAAACAAAAACAATATGATTGCTTTTATTAATCACATTTTGATTAAATTCCAATAGATTTACATAGCACTATTTGATTTTAAAAAA